TCGGTGGGGAACCTCGGGCGAGATAGCAGAGGAGATATATATGGAGAGAACAAGATTAATTGCAAACAGCACCGGGGCCTTAACTGTTTTAAACTAAAAGGCAGAAGCACAGTCCAATTGTGGGGAAACTGGGAGACTGGAACAGAACATTGAAGCTGTAATGCAAGAGGTTTCTTAACAACAAAATGTAGCACTGATAGTCAAATCAATAAAGGAAAACCATTTAAATGTTGACAACTTACTACCAAATTTTATACTAGATCTAGAATATTATTTACCAACTTTAATAAAAGGATCCTAAAATTTTAAATTTAACAATGAAAGATTGTTTAATGTTTAATTAACTAATAAGGACAAAAGGAGTTAATCGCTCTCACCCTCACACGGGCTCAGCTGGGTGTCCCTTTGTCCAATCCTTAATTCTCAAGAACTGATCCCTCTGGCAGGTGTCCCCTGGAGAGGAGAAGGTCCAGCACCCCTCCTGGGAAAGGGCAGGGGAGTCCCCTGGTCACAGATGGGACCAGGCTTGTCTAGAATAAAGTGGATTGGCTGCTGTCATTTAACTATTTAGTCGTACCTCCAAAATCTCTCATTGGAGAACAAAAGGAAACCAGAGGAAAACCCAAGAAGGACCTTTTCTCACCCAGCAAACTTTTGTTTATCTGTTCATTCTTATTTTATCTCCGTTACAGGCCCAGTTGTGGCTTCAACACCACCGGAGAGCAACTGGTGTGATGAACACCCACTTGGCCCTCTGTACTGTCAAGGTTGTTACCAGCTCGGAGCTTCTTCGGCCTTTTCCTTTCCCAAGGGTAAATCTTCCCACTCCAGGCCTGGGCCTATAAAATTGAGAGGCAAAAAGCAACTGAATCCCAGAGGGAAGCCGTGCTGCCGGCTATGGGACGGCCTGTTTGTGGGGCCGCCCCACAGAGCGCAGGGCCAGCACGGCCACCGGCGTGGGCGGGATGCACCGACACCATCTCCTGCTCAAAGGGCTGTATTTAATCCCAGCACTGTAATGAGGCTTATCGGTGTGTAGGCTGCACCCTGCAGCGCCAGCCCAAAGGGGAAAGGCTGAGGCACCGCTGCACAGAGCCCACCGCGGCTGCCGGGCAGCCTGTGGGGCTGCAGCCTCCTGCCTTTCTGGGGTGGTGCAGCATAGCTGGGCATCTGAGAAAGAAACCACAACCACAGTCACAAAACCTGTCTGCACTTCGCAGCAGTGGCTGCGCACGGTTTTGCTTTTATGTTCTGGTTGTGACGCAGCTCGCAAAGTCTTGGGCAACCATACTGCTGCCTAGGACTAGTTAAAAGCAGAAATTGGGATACCAGTTCTCACAGACTTTGCATCTACATGTTCAAATGGCATCAGAACCTACTTTTGATTACTCTTATACAAGTACATATCTCACACAGAGCCTGTTTGACAATCTCATGCATGCAAGCAGCAACTGGGTCTTCAGAGCCTCGTGCTTTAAGGAGCCCAAAGGAAAAACTAAAGTTAAAAGACTTTACCTTGTGATTTCAAAGCCCCTTTTTGAGGATATAAAATAACCTAAAGCATGCATTAGAAATAAACTGAAATTAGAAAGAGTTCTAAAATAGCTTCAATTTGTTTGTCAAATGGATTTCCTCTGTGAAGCAATCCAACCAGCTGCCCTAGAAATTTGCACGTATCTGTTTTACAATAGAGTTACCATAAAGGCAGTAGGAGTCATGGAGCATGAGAGTTTAAGAATTATAAATTTAATTTTAGCAGTGCACCATTAGAGTTAAGGGGTGAATTTTGTTTATGCCATGGCACTGCCAGCGGAATGGGTAATTGCTATTTACATGCCAAGCACAGTGCCTAAGTCACACTGTCACAGCCATATAAACGAAGATGAGATACCCAGTTTGAGAAAATGGAAAGTATTGTTGGAAGACCTGTTCTACCATGCAGCTGGCACAATAAGATATACCCACTAAGAACAAGAGCTGCTTTTCAAGAGTATCTCCTGCTTGCTTGATCTCCCATCTACACCTTTAGCATTTTGAGTTGTGGATACTGTTGAGACAAAAA